CCCACCCACTTGCTTACCATCGACATACGCGGAGCCCTGGTTGCCGTTCCGTAGCACAATGGCCACTTGGTACTTTTTCTGTTTCTCCCAAGCGCTGCTGTGGTCCTGAGAGTTCGTTCCGCCACCGCAAGACAGCTTCCACTTACCTCCGCCGTTGTACGACAGTCCCAGGAGTACAGTCTTCCCGCTGTCATTCATCTTCACACCCAACAAAGGAATGAGGGTATCTCCCTCCGGCTCACAGTCGATGAACACCGTCGCCACAAGAGTAAAGTTGTAGTTCGCAAAGTGGTACAGCTGATTCTCCCCCTGACTGCCAACGGGCCACTCCGCCCACGCTCCCCGGAACTTCACACCATCGGAAGTATTTGTTGCCCCTGTCTCCCCATCATCATTCCCCTTCACTGTGGCGTTCACCCCGAGGTACTCGTCCCTCCATGTGTCATCAGAGAAGTTGCCGGACAAAAAGCCAACCAGCCCATCCGTGATCTTAAAAGTAGGGCTGCAGGCAGCGTCAGGTGAGGCATTGTTAGGTGAGGCACTCCCAGAAGGGCACATCTTGGAGACAGTTTGGTCCGCTTTCTTCCACTTCGCCAGCACATCCTTCACAAGCTGCAGCTGCGCAGTCAGGAGCACAGACCAAAGACTGTGTGATGGTTTCCCTTCATTACTCTTCTTCTCATACAGTGCAATCAACTCCTCCTTCTCCTTCTTATCTCCACTTTCAACACTTATGTACAACAGGGAGCTGGCGGCAGCGTCATCATCGGATACCGGCCCAATATCAACAATGTGCGTATTGTCCGTCAGCCAAAGATGGTGTTTTCCCTTTCCATTGCCCGTTTCTTTATTACTTTCCTCCTCGGAATACACCGGCAGAGTAACGAGCATCACATTTCTCTTTTCATCACCGCCAATCGTCGCTGTGATGAACCCGCTTCTAACGCCCTTCTCATTTCCCTGTTTGTTGACCCACACGCGCGAGAGTGTCCCGAGTGCCTCCGTCCACGAATCTCCCTTGTCAACGGACTCGTACACCCTGCGGCGGCCATCGTCACACGCAGTCATCATGATGAGTTTTTTGTCCTCCCACTCCACGACGGAGGGATCACTGCAGCCATCGTCAGACATCCCCTTCGATAGCTTCCAACTCGCAGCGTTATCGGAGGAGTATATGAGCAGCGATACGGTCTTTCCGTCATTTGATTCACCCTTCTCCTTCTTCGTGCCTTCCACTGGAAACAAGAGAGTTCTGTCTTTCGTCTCAATACCCGACCCACCGCCGACAATCAGCTGCGTCCACAATTCTCGTTCGCCAACAGAAATACGCGAGACACCGTCATTATCTTTCCATTTGATTCTTTTGCCACTACCATTTTCTTCACTGACTTTTCCTTTCACCAGCAATAATCACCCGTCATCGGCACCTCTATTCTCACCAGTAGCATCTGCAGGGCTGTATTTCCCAACAAGCATGTAAATATCATTTCCCTTCACAACTGTTGTTGGTCGGCTCACATCCACTTTCTTTGGGTCTTCGGAAGTAGCTTCCTGCAGAAATTGTGTCTTATCCTCGGTTCCTTTTAGCACTTCCACCGGTGTGTTAACGTTTTGCTTCGGGAGATGTTGGGAAGCAGTGCCAGTAAAACTGTTGCTTTCACCGTTCTTTTTGCACTGCGCTTCAGCAACGGCAAACACGTCACTCCCCACGTTTAGAAGGCCGGGAGCACCCAACGATTCCACAGTTACACCACCACCCTCCTCATCCTTGATGTATTTCCATTCATACTTTGAAACTCTTGACTCCTTCCCCTCAGCTTCCGCAGCACCACCACTGCCGCAGCACATCATCACCACGAGGAGGAGCAGCAGCACCGCAGAGCAGAAGAGATGCCGCGACATGTTGGGCCTCTGCGGCTCACTCTCTCTTCCTTCCCTCCTCCTTCCGCTGGATCCGGTCACGCGGCGACGGTTGTGTGTGCGGGGTGCCTTCACTGCAGCAACACGTGAGAGCATACAAATATGTGTGTGTGGGCGGTGTGTGTGCCGTTGGTCCTTTCAGTGCCTTCGAATTTCACAGTAGCGATTCGCGCTTGGTATCAACTTCTTTCCTTTGTGTGCAAGTGGTTTAGTAAAAAGAAAAAAGAGGAAAAAGGAGTGAAACAGTGAAACACCCTCACCCACCCACAGTGAGTGGCATCATCATCCGCACCGCAGTCACTCCTAACAACAACAACTCACGCACACAGACACACGGAATGAGGAAGAACAGTGCAAAGAGAACACACAACGACTGTTGCCACCAGCAGGAGCCACGGCGGGTGCTTCTGCCACGCGTCAGCACTCTCCGAGCTACGCCGACACACAAAACAATCACCGAGATGCAGAAGGGTACAACTGCCCCTCGCAGCACCAACGCGCCATCGCCAGTCGTTTTACTGTTGTCTCTTCCCACAATATCCATCGCACATCGCCCCGCACAGCCGGAGAATCCTCCGTCGGTGTACGAACAGCGAGAGGAACACGTCGGCACGTGCAGCTGCCAGGAGAGAATCCATACGCATATCTCCCAGGCTCCCTCAATGCCGCGCCGCCCACGGGCAGCACGCCAAGGAAATCACGCTCGCAGCACGGCAAAAAAATAAAATCGCAGTCTTCCGTCATCCCTCCCCGAAAGGGCCGCCGCAGCCAAAATCTTGTGCGTGTGCGCGTTCTCATCATTCACGCCGCTCCACAGCGTGTGCACGTGTCTGTGTGTTTGGCAGCGCCTATACTTGCAGAGCAGATGTACGGAACACAAGAGAGTCAAAAACGGCAACAACAGAGAAGCGGATAGCACACACGCAAATTACGCATATCATCACACACACACACACACGCAGCCAGCAGAATGGGTGCACTCAACCACAACACAAAAAGAAAAACAAAACAAAAAGCCGAAGCGTGGGACGACCAGCACACACACACTCTCATTGCTCCCGTAAAGCAAAACACACACACAGGGAGAGAGAGGTCGCCCACTCAATGCAATAAAAACAAAACAAAAACAGTTACGGTGCTCCGCCCATGAAGCCAGGCAGGACGGCAGCGGTGCGTGTCGTGCAAAAGAGAGCACCAACGGGCCTGCATGGGTGTGCATGCATATATACAATGGGCACATTATGTGTGTGCCTCGTGGGGTGAGGTGAGGGCGAGAGTCCATGCAAGGGGACACGCACACACAGAGAGAGAAGGACGAGTGTGTGTGCGGGCGGTGCACGGCTCTCTCACACTCACTCTCACGCGGCCACCACAGCAGCCGCAGCAGCACACGCAACAACAAGAAGAAGCAAAAGAGGGGAGGTGGTGTGGGAGACCGCGGTGCTGCCGTCACTGTCGCCAGGCGTCGTCGTATCATTTGTTTGAGTGGTGGCTTTTTCTGGTGTTTGTGATGGAGTTTCATTGGCTGTGGGAGCATCGCTGGTATCATCTTCGGGCCCGTCTTGTGGTTCTTTGCTGTTAGTCCGTTGTGCACCGTTATCAACCTTGTCCTCCTTGTTCTGAGCTCCACCACTGCCACTTTTAGATAGAGATGGCACTGCTGTTTCGGCCGGACGACTTGTAGTTGCACCCTTCATCGAACCTGGTGTGTCCGTGTAGTGTCTGTTTTGGTTTGGCGCAACATTTCCTGAAGGCTTTTCCTGTGCTTCACGCTCCGCTTTAGCATTTGACGGTGACTTCGTGCTTGTTGTTTCTCTTGTATTCTGTGAGCCTGTGGATGCTGTTGGGGTTGTTTCTCCTGCTGAAACGGCTGTTGCTGGTGCTAGCCCTGTTGGTGATGGTACCGTAGGCAGTTCGTGTGGCGGCAGTGATAAATCTGCTGGTGGTTGTGAAGGTTCTGTTGGTAGTGATACTTTTGGGATTCCTGGTTCTAGCAGTGGTTGGGGGTCGCTTTTGTTAGAGGACAACCCGTTATTCTGGGCATTATTCTCTTTCCCCCCGTCTGCGGTTTCACCGCCACCAACATTAGTAATACTTTCCGTTTTCGATTTATCGGGCAACTGTTTTTGCGAATCAGAATCAATTGCCTCTCTTCCACTCACTTTGGGCGTTGATGCAACTTGAGGCCCTGTTTGTGGGTGTTTCTGTTTTGCTTCAGATTCCTCTTCTTCCTGGGGTAAAGGCATCTCGGAGAGAGTCGGAAACACATCCAGAGCAGGAGAGGGAGCTAATGATATATCATCGGAAGCAGAATCCGAAGCGTCACTTTCACCTAAATGAGAACCATCGGCCTTTGAACCTCTACTGCCACCACGACTCCCATCTGCAGGAGGAGATTGACCACCAGCCCCACCTCCACCTTCGCCGAAAGTTCCAGGACCACCAACAGCAACATCGACATCCTCAGCGTAGCCACCGCCGCCACCGCACCACAGCACGCAGAGGGCACACACCAGCAGCACACGGCCAGTCATCATCGCCATCACTCCTGTCACTTGCGTGCAGCCTTCAGCACAAACTAAAAACACGTCAACGCAGAGTGAAAGCAAAAAGGAGAGACACGACACACTCACAGCTGCCAACAGAGGCAACACGCACTTCATGAAAAGCATCAAACCAATTAAAGTTTAAAAAGGCACAACAACATGCAAAAATTAAAAAAAAGACGCACAAAAAACAAAATAAAAACAAACAAAAAGCAATAAAGTAAAACAGTAAAAACACAAAAGAAAAAAAACAAAAACAAAGAGCTGCACACAAATGGCTGCAGTGCGCATGCACCCATCCTCAACAGTGGATCGATGCAAACATTCGTGTGCGTGTCGCGCTTGTAACTGTGTCTGGAATGCGTTCAACGTGACGGATGCGAGAGCAGCAAAATGGAGCACACAGCATGCAGCGGAAGCAAACAAAGCAAAACACAATCATTATTTTATCCTATTATTTATACATCGGACCACATTAGGCGGGCACAAATACTCGTGATTGAGTGCTGGCACGCATAGCCCGCACACAATTCTTCAGCCCAGAGTGGTGTACACCATCGCGGACACGGCAAGCAGCAGCGGGGCACACACCCACGCAGAGCTGCTGAGGCTGCCGTCAATTTCACGAAGACGTGACGATGCGCGGGTGGTCGTCGTAGTTGGCGCCTCTGTAGTCGTAGTTGGAGCCTTTGTTGTAGTGGTTGTTATCGTTGTTGGTGCATATGTTGTAGTCGTCGTCGTCGTCGTCGTGGTCGTCATGGCAGGATCTTGGGCTTCCTGACTTGCTTCTTCTGCGGATTGTCTTGTGCCGATTTCTCGTCCTGGAGTACCGTCCGGACCATGATTTTGTAACGTGTTAGACACGTTAACTGATTCCGGACCTGCAGCGGTCGAGGCTGGTCCCGCTCCGGCAGTAATTCCCAGATCCGCATCGGACCCATTACTTGGTGACCCTGGCTGAATTGTCCCCTGTGATGGTATCACCGATGGAGGGGACTGTGGATTGGCAGCGACAGGAGCTTTGATATCAGTATGCTGAGTAGACTCTGCCGCGCACACGGACGGGCAGCAGCAGAGGGCGAGCACCAGCAGGGCGCACAGCAGACGGCACGTCGTCATCGCAAGTGTGGTCGTTCAGTGGTGTGGAGCTGATCTGCACGGTGAGGGACATGGAGAGCAACAGGGGAGACGAGAGGTGCGGCAGACACACACAGGGCACACCACGAGAGGAGAGGGCAGCAGCCAGGCACACCAACACACAGATGGAGGAGGGAGAAGCAAACAGGAGCGGCACACAAGGCTCCACCGCATGCACATACGGCGAGAGCGGTCCGTCGTGTCGGCATCCCTCACGGAGGGTACGCACACACACAAGAGGAGGTGCAGCGCGCACAGCAACACAAAAGAAAAGTAACAATAAAAAAAAGAATATCCCCGCACACCACGTGGATTTTTGGTCCACGGGAATCGCTGCGAATATTCATCGCAAAGCAACTTGTTATCTTGTTTTTGCTGTATGCTGTTGCAATAACGAGTGGGTAGCGCAAGGGCCGTCCGTACAAAAGTGGCGAGCATTCCGTCCGAAACGTGCCCTCGTGCGGGCTGGGGCGTTCCCAAACACTCGCATTCCCAATTGCCAACGGCGGGGGCATTTCTGCAGTGGATGAAGCGAATTCTCTCGTGGTCCATCTCGAGTACCCGCGGATGTGCTTCCTGCGTGTCTTGCCTGCTGGCATGCTTGGCACTTCGGTGGCGACCTGTGCGCGAGGCGCCTGTAAAGAAGACGCTGGCACCATTGCGGCATCCGCATGTGAAGCCTCTCAAACTATCGGAACGCCAGGCCGAGCACGTCGGGCATGCGCCCTCATATTGTGGACGGACGAGCGCAGACTATGCTGCAGGTTGCGCAGGAGGACATCAATCCGCCGCTCGCTGGTCGGCAAGGATTTGCGGTGCTCACGTCGGGAAGAGCTTCCGGCGGAGGCAGCGGCGGGCCGGTCTCTCAAGTAAGAAAGGGACGACATCACCGACACAGAGGGTTACTTTTGATACGAGGGCACGCGCAGGCATGTCGAGGAGTGGGCAGGAATCGCACAGTGCTTTTGCGCAGAGCCGCCACTCGTGGCACGATGTCCGGGTCGTGCCAGGAATAGAGTCCTTGCCACACCAACAAGCGCCTGCCATGCGGTGTACGCGCCGTTCCTTTTCTTCCGGGCATCCCTCCAGTACGGTCACCCGACTGCAGCGAGAAAGTCCACGTGCCAGATTGGGCTACCCTCCTGCGGGAGGGATCGTGCAATCATGGCCTCGTCGTCAGCAGCCTCATTGCGTGGGATACCGCAGTGCGACGGAGAAAACATGAATTCTACATAGCGACCTCGCTGTATCAAGGAGAGCAGCATAATCCAAATCTCTTCAGCGATGTAGCGTCGCACGGCCAGTGGGACGACGCGGAGTGCCTCAGTTCTCGACAGGGAGTCCGTTGCCACCAGGATTCGTGTGGGCGATTGGGATGTTTCCAGACAAAAAGGTATGAGATGTCTAATGCCATCTTCAGTGGCAAGGCACTCTGCTCTATATGAGCGTGCGAGCCTGCCAGCTGCTGCACGATGTACCTCCACAGGGAGATCATTTGTCGTGGTGGAGCCGTACAATAGTGCAGCGGATACAGATGCGAGCTCAGCGAGAGATGAAGAAACGTCTGTCCATAATTCAAAATCATACGCTCCCAGAGAGGAGTAAATAGAATCAAGAGCCGTGCGTTTGACGTCATCAGAGGCGTCTTGGGCAAAGCGTGGCTGATTAAATTCCACTTTATTGCAGCTCACAGTGTCCCAGGGGAAAATACGATGTTGAATAGGAGGAGCACGATTGTGGCTGCGGGGTATCCCAATAGTATTACGTACGCGGCGTAATCCATTAATAACAGCATCTCTCGGAAGCGGGATCGATGTCGCCGCTTTTCATGCATGGACGGCGGCATGGCCTCCAAGCAGATTGCGCCACGTACGTCCTCAATACATCGAAGAAGTGTGAGGCGTTCGTGTTGTGTGGGTGCGCGGAAACCAATGATCCTCCGCAGCGGTGCTGGATTGGCGGCCAGGCGGAAAGAAGCGTCCTTCTTTGATGCGCGTGGGCCGAGCGATGCAGCGCAGCTGTCGCGGTACAGTACTTCCAGGCTGTGGAGGTGAAAGAGGGCCGGACACGGTGCGATTGCCTCGCCGCCGTGGTGCAACGCACTGTGGACGCACCCAACCAGAAAGGATCGCGTGGTGTGCTGGGACGCACCAGCCTCCGCACCCAGCCGCGGCCGACAGTAGCGTGGTGCGGTATACTTTGTTTTTTGTGTGAGGAATTTTGCTGTTTTTTAACTTCTGGTACGGGCCGATGGTGCATTGGCGTTTTCTGATTCGGTAGGAGCATTGCGTTTTCTGAAGAAGCCGTTGCAGTTGCGCGGCGTCGTTTTGAGAAGGTGAGTGCCTGCCGCATTAATCAACAAACAACAACTCGGATGACAGCAGGAAGCACTGCGGTTTCTCCTTTTTTTTGCAAAGCGAATTTATTGGACGTCACGTTTGATTGGCAGCTTTTGTGGGAGAAGGTGGGAGGCTGATGGCATTAGGAATGAATTCATTTGAGTGTTTGCGTTCCGTTGAGTTGCGGCCAGTCGTGGCACCCTTTTGGGGTTTACTAGCTCGTCTCTTTTATTTACTTCCCACCGCAACACGCGGATAACACTGATCCGGGGAACATTTGTCTGACCGCGTGTAAGCTGCTGCCGTGCGTGGTGCATGGACTATTTGATTGTGTGGGGAGGTGCATTGGGGTGACGAATACTTCTGTTTGGCGTGTCGCGGTGTGTTGGAATGATGTTCGGATGACATGTGAAGTTTTTTTTTGTGATTTGTGTGTCCTCTCTGGTGGAGCCGACATGTGTGAGGGGATTGCGGCATTGCTGGCTGACAGCTCCACGTCACTTTTCAGCATTCCTGGATGTGCTGAGGAATGACGGCTGGCGACCAGCGTGTTGTTGCTGCTGGTGGGAATAGGAGCATCGGGAATAGGCCGTTTTCTCTTTTCCGTGCTGGAGCCGATGAAGTGGCACGAGGGCACCGACTGCAGGCAGGCAGCCTGCACGTGTGAGCAGCGGATCCATGCACACACCGACGCTCATCGCAAGAGCATGTGCGATCACAGTGGCTTTTTGTGGCGTGCTTTTGTGGGCGTCAGCCTATCGAGGAATGTGTGAACCAAACGGCTGACTGCACACGAGGAAAATAAGTGCGTGCACTGTGCCGTGTTTCATCGTCGATGGCAGAGCGACAGGAAGCCCGTGCTGGCAACTGAGATCTTTGCGTCGCGAGGGATGTCGGTGTTGATTTTGGATCGTCGAGGGTGAAGTGGTTTTGCTGCTGCCCGTGTGTGTGGCCACTCCGGCGGAGGGCGGACACAAAAGGGAGGGATGCAGGCATGAAGGCTTACCCTCCGCAAAAACACGAACAACATATGCAGATATCTTACACCCTCCAAAAGGAAACAGAAATGAATAGTTTCCTGCACTCTTCCATTCCTTGTGCTCATTTTTGAGTGTGCTGCTGCTGCTGCTGCTGCGGTGCCCGGCCTGTATGAAGTTGTGTGCGCTGAATATGACGAAGGCCGAAGACAACTGAATTATTTTTGCGATGAATATTGGCTGCACTTCCCGTGGACCAGCAATCCACGTGGTGTGCGGGGATCTCCTCTTTTTATTGTTACTTTGCTTTTGTGTTGCTGTGTGCACTGCACCTCCTCTTGTGTGTGTGTGCACCCTCCGTGAGGGATGCCGACACGACGGACCGCTCTCGCCGTATGTGCATGCGGTGGAGCCTTGTGTGCCGCTTCTGTTTGCTTCTCCCTCTCCCATCTGTGTGTCGTGCGTGGTGTGCGGCGTACGGTGCATGCCTGGCTGCTGCCCTCTCCTCATGTGGTGTGCCCTCTGTGTGTGTCTGCCGCACCTCTCGTCTCCCCTGTTGCTCTCCATGTCCCTCACTGTGCAGATCAGCTCCACACCACTGAACGACCACACTCACGATGATGACGTGCCGTCTGCTGTGCGCCCTGTTGGTGCTTGCCCTGTGCTGCTGCCCGTCCGTGTGCGCGGCAGAGTCTACTGAGCATACTGAAGCTGAAGATCGTGTGGTTGAGGCTGAGGGAAACGGCACCAGTTTATTGCACTCTTGATCAAAGACTAATCCCGAAGATGAAGTTATTGGAAAGGCTGCCATTTCACAGTCCTCTCCATCGGTGACACTAACAGAGGGGACAAGTCAGTCAGGGTTGTTAGGTAGTGGGTCCGGTGCGAACCAGGGAAGAAATGCCGGAGCGGGACCAAGTTCGACCGGTGTTTTACCGCAATCAAAAGACGCGAAGAATGCGGTACAGATAAAAGATGGTGAAAATACGACAGGGTCACAAAATAGCAGGAGTACACCCGCAGAAGAAGCAAATCAGGAAGCCGAAGATCCTGCCGAGACGACTACGACGACGAATACAACACATGCACCAACAACGATAACAACCACTACAACAAAGGCACCAACTACGAATACGGAGGCGCCAACTACGACTACAGAGGCACCAACCACGACGACCCGCGCACCGTCACGTCTTCTCGAAGTCGACGGCAGCCTCAGCGGCTCTGCGTGGGTGTGTGCCCCGCTGCTGCTTGCCGTATCCGCGCTGGCGTACACCGCTCTTGGCTGAAGAGGTGTATGTGGGCCGTGCGTCCAGCACTCAACCGCGGGGATTTATGTGTGCGTCCACTTTGGTCCGATGTAAATAAATAAGAGAAAATAATGATTGTGTTTTGCTTCATTTGATTCAGCTGCGCTGCTGTGTGCTCCACGTTGCTGCTCCCCGTATTTGTCACTTGGCACGCATCCCAGACACACTCGTATGCACGACACGCCCAAAACTGTTTGCGTGGACGCATTTTTGTGTGTGAATGCATGAACACAGGAGCCATTCGTTGCAGCTTCTTGTTTTTTGTTTTTTGTGTTTTCACTTTCTTTTTTTTTTCTTTTTTTTTCTACTGTTGTTGTTGTTACTTGTTTTTTGTGTTTATTCTCCTTGTTTTTTGC